CCTCCCCACCTCCCCTCCGCCTCGGCTGCCAGCCTTCAGCGGGAAGATGATACTCTGACCTTCCTCTTTACTCACCGCACCACAGCTCAAAGACTGAAAGCTCAGGGACAGAAAAAGCTGCGGTCTTTCTGATTTCTTCTGCTGCATGAATGCCAAGATGAATTTCCAGAAAACAAACTACGTATTTCCTGTGTTTTTAAATGCAATCCACTATGTTTTCCTCTTGGACACTGAAATCAGCCAAAGACTTTTTGGTAATATTTCTGGTACCTGGTGTACCAGAAATATTATTAAGAAAGTTGATTGGACTTTCATATGTGCTGGTATTTTAGTTTTTTAGAAAATAAAAGCATAAAAAATAGTTATTAAACCATTTTAAACAATTTAACAAATACTCTTGATTTGATTAATTTGACTTTGAGGTATAATTCATTGTCTGCTTGCTTCATTTATTGGTGTTTGAGCTGAATGTTGGATCTGGATATAATAAAATTTCAGTCGCTGATCAGGTGTATTCACAGACTACAGCTTTAGAAATTAAAGCCATTTTATCAATCAAATCAAGTTTGCTGCAGCTGGATAAAAAACCCCTGTGCTGATATTTTAACTTGATTACTCTTTGCCCGATTGATGACTTTAACACAAGTGAAGCCTGATAGGGGAAAGCTCTCTTGAACATGCTGGACTTTATCTCTCTCTCTCATTTTAAAGAGTACCCTCCACCTAAATAAGCTCTCCCATTCAGACACGGGGAACATAGGACATGGATGCCATTTCCTTCAGCAGCGAGCGACAGTGGCAGCGGCTGCTATTTAAAGTCCATTCAAGAGAAATGATCAATCAGGCTCTGGTGGCTCAAACAGCAGAAGGGCAGCACCATTTAAATTATGCATCCATATAGCCAGTGTTGCTATGAAAAAGTATGAAAAACACATTTGTTCCATTTTTAATATAATGACATTTTAAACTTTCTTGTTATATGAGACAAACTTTTTCCCAACATAAGAAGTTATTTTGTTATTCTATTCGTGTTCCCCTGTGGAGGACTCCTACTGACTCCAGCTGCTTGATGTTGGGCGTCTACTAGACAAAATAACAACAGATTTAATTACACATTTATGTTCCCCTCAGGTTAAACTGGTTTATGTTTTGGATCCCATGATCTTCAGGTGCACTTTATGCACACTCTAGCAAAGCTAAACACATTTCCTTGAGCCTCAAATAGTCATATTTCATCCAAATTTTCAGCTGCTCCTTTATTTCCCGAGGAGTCAGGAGAGCTAATCTTGGGTGGCATCCCAAAGCAGAACAGAACATGCGAGCTATAGGTCCGTGTCATTAAACCACTGCAGAAGAAGGAAGATCAGGACCTATTCTGATCATTTCCAGCTCTTTATCCTTTTTACCTGGGCTTTGCATGAAATAATCCTTATTCATCTTATTCCATACTCCCTCAGTGCATCCTCTGTCTGAAACAAGTCATTTGAGCTCCTCCCTCTTTAAGAAAGTTTTCTTCTGACTTGTTACTCCTCACAAACAGAAGGTTCAAACAGCAAGTGGGTGGGGCTTTTGTGGTTTAGATGACCATGGTATGTGCTCTCTGTTACATCACACAGATCCATAAGCAGAAAATAACTCTGTGAAATGTAGAAATTAGGGTAGTCTGTCATCTGAGCTTTTGGTTTTCAGAGCTACTTATGCACAGACTGATCTCATTATCTGAAACTTTGAGCATGATTAATATAAACATCCACCACTGCAACAGGAGAACATGACAGAACATAAACAAATGCAGATTAGGCTCTTTCCAGATCTGAGTTTTATTTGTATGCCAATTTACCCACTTTCACTCAGCGCAATATTTACTTATGAAACATTATAAGATTTTTTTTCTATACTTCCACAGCTTTTAAAATCTTTACCTGATGAAAACAATTTATTGCAGTTCTTGCTACCAAGTGTGGTGCGACAAGTTATCAGGTATTGGAGACAATTACTTTTGCACACCGGGGCAGGTAGGTTTGGAAAATATTTTTCCTTATGAAGTCAACATTTAAAAACTGCATTTTGTAATTGCTCTGGTTATCTTTGTCTGATATTAAAATGTTTTGGATGATCTGAAACATTAAAGTGTCACAAATATGCAAACAAAAATGTAGAAAACTGAAAGCTACGGTCTTTCTGGAGAGCTCCTGTTGCTTTTCCAGGACTATACATTATATTTTTCTCACCACTGGCACGTAACACTCAGCAGAAGATTAAGCAAAGTCAAACCTGATAATAAAAATGTGTGATCTGTGTTGCTCAACTGAATAAATTGTTGTTGGCCTGTGTCCTTATTCTTTATGCTAAGCTAACACAGTTCCCTACTACCAACACTGAACAACTTCTTCACCCAATTTCTGGTCCTGATTTTCAAGAACAATTTGTTGTGTTTATATTTTGAGGAAATTTTAACTTTTAGGACTCAAAAACTAAAATGGCTTCAAAATGTTTGTGGTGGCTAGATTTAAAAGTGACCGTGGCTGCACGCTTGTGTCATTTTGGGGAGGCAATCTTGAAGACACAGCAACTGAGCTTTGCAGTATATGTGAAATCTCTACGAATGACTGACTTACTGACTGACAGCACTCCTGGTGTGGCCCTGAGGTGATTAGAGGTTAAGGCCTCAGCAGGCTTAAGTAAGAAGAGTGATTAGTGCAGACAATAATAACTCAGAGCTGAACACAGACTGTTGATCAGGTTTCATTTGGTCACTTTTACAACTATTTTCTCTCCTCTTTTCTTTCTGTTTTTAATGAAAGACTTTAAAGCCTTTTAAAGTGGCACCTAGATTGCTCCCCAAAAACCAATTACAAGCACGGTGACAAAAAATGATCACAATGAAATACTGTTAACCTCCTTAAAAGACAGATTTGACATATTTTAGAAATACTTTACAACTTTCTTTATTTAAAATATTTTAATATTATTAAATGTTAGGCAACTGTCACATTCCATAAATTCCGAGCTGAGGGGTTTATATGTGACAAACCCCTCAATCTATTTTAAGGAATTTTAAAGGATTTTAATCATAAAGGGGCATTTCGAAATGTAAAATTGACCTTTAACTTGTTTAAAACCTAATGAAAACACGCTTATATAAAACAATCTATTAGTTCCCCCAAAATAAGGAATTTATCCCAATGGCTCAGATCTTACCCCATAAAACACTTTCAATTGTGCCTTAAGTATATTTAAAGCACTTTTGTGATTAAAATCCTTTAAAATTAAAATGCTTTAAAATGTTACAGTCTGCATGTATAAATAATTTCTTTGATTTAAAATACTTCATACTTCAACTTTCTTCTGTGCCTTAAACCCCTTTATCTAAAATACTTAAATATGAAGCAGTCTATTGGATCCACATTGTTTTTATCTCAAAATGCTATATTGTCTTTAATTAAGTAACTGGTGGCTTCCAAACTATTGACAGTTTACCCCTTAAGCCCATTTAAACTATAGTTTAAACCATTGAAAGTACTTTTGAGATATTGCAGTTTGATAATTGTTATTTAAATACCACAACCACCTCATTTTTACCTTAATTTCAAATGTGTTTAAGACTATCACTGAACTGTATTCTAACTGTGCCATAAATCGACCCATGACTGATAAATAAGGGATTAACTTGCTAATATTTGGCAAACCCCTCAATCTACTGTGAGGAATTTAAATGGGTTTTAACCACGAGAATCACCTCTGGGGTTTATTTTAAACTCTTTTTAAATTCTACAGTACAGTGGATCCAATTTGATACGTTACAGACTCTTAATATAACTCTGCTGTTTGTCATTAATAAACAGTTGAGTGATAAATATATTAAGTAAATGATTAGCCGATTGACATTTATTGTAATGGGTGTTAACCACAAAGAGCACCCTTGTATATGATCTTGGACCCTTTTTAAACCCATTCATTGGCTACACTGGACTTTCACATTAGTTAAAGATATTAGAGCACTACAAATCACAGATGGCTTCCATGATATATGAAATTTTTACCCCTTAAAACCACCTTAAACTCTACATAGCTTGCCAGTGTTTGATAATAACACCAGCATTCAAACTTCTCATCCATATATGGTAATTCTGGCCTCCTAAAAACACCATGGAAACAGCTTAAATGCTAACTTTCAGGGTTCAAAAGGCTCCAAACAATTGGGTGATGTCAAAGTGGTTGCATCCATCTTTTATCTACAGTTTATAGTTTCCACCTAATTAAGAGTTAAAAGCCTTTTAAGAGATCTTTCATGCTACTGGAGATTTTACCTCATATACTGTAAAAACTATTTAAAGTGCTTTTTTTAGTAATTCAGGAAACAGGGCAAAAGTAAAGATTCAACCTGGAGGAGCAAAGGAACAAAGAGCAGTCTGGTTCCACCTGGAAATACATTTTGTTCCATTGAGTGGTAAAATAATGTTACTGTGCCACATTCAAGCCTAGAAACTTATTGTTTTGCTTTTATAATCTGGAAAAGAGCATTTAAAATGATGCACCAAAACAAAAAAGGGGGATTTGGACGATTTGTTCTTCTGTAACTTGTGGCTAAGTTGCCCTGACATGACAACAAAAGTTTGAGGGGGAGCAATCAAATTTCAAATCAAACTTCAGGGGGAGGACCATCCCAGGCCCTACTTTTAACTCAAGGTTTTCATTTATTAATACTGTGGAATTTAAGATGCTATTAAAAAGGTTTTAAATCTCTGAATATTTTATGAAATACAGTTACATGCGGTTTGGATGTTTGGTGAATATATTACGATGCTGCAGTCGATTTAATGGGACAGGTTGATCCAAACTGAAACTTTCCTTAGAGAAAACCTTTTTTGTAGTCCGTTAACTCTCCCTCGTTTGAAGGTACAAAGTTATGGGATCCAGTTTCACGCCAGGACACTGTGTCCCGCTGCCATGCGAGCCTCCTGTGCTGATCGGCTGAATGAAAAGTTGACCATTCTTACCTTCTCCTGCGCTCTGGTAAGCCTCTTCTGGACGTTGATGGCCAGTTTCCCGGCGGTGACCCCTTTCCCTATCTCGGCCATGTCGCGCGTGGCGTGGAGGACTCCCCTTTGGTGTCAGGACCAGCGAAGAAGGAGTGCGGCTTAAGTTGTGCCTCTTCTGGATGCCGACGGTGCGTAAAACCCCTTCGGAGGGACACTTGGCTCGCTGTGCGTAACTCTAATCCTGCTGACAGCTTCTTAAAGGTGCAATGCGTAATTTAATCCTATTTGTGTTTAGTAAAACCAAAACAGAAAAACTGAACAGAGTTTGGTGAATAAGGAGGAACAGATTCAGAAATCGTCCTGCTCTCGATTCTAACTGGTAATTGACAGACACACTTGGGCTCGATATGGAGCGATATTAAGTTTCCCCTCAGTCATCCTCTTAAAGGCGCAGCAGGCTGATATTATTAGCCGACAACTGTTGCATACGCGCAACAGTTGTGTTGCCGTCTTTACGCACGGCCCTATTTATGCGCACGGAGCGGGTTTTATGTCAGATGCGAGCGCTAAATCAACCCCGATGCCCCCTCGGAAGGCCGCACATTCATCAGCGGCAGAAATACACCGACAGACACGAGAGCTGACAAAGCTCACCTGCTTCTTTTGTGAGCAGCCAGCAGGTGTCAGTAAAGGCACGTCCAGGTAAAACCTCCGCACCTGAAGACAGGTGTCTTGAGGATGTGTTGTGCATCTAATTGAGTCTCTCGGAGTGTTTTTTGTCCTCTTTTTTCTGGGTAATTGTAAGTTTTGGCAGTGTTATTATAATGAACTTAAATAAAAATATGAGTTTATGACATCTTTTGAAGAAAGGGGGCACGAATTGTGTCTGAACATAAAATATAATATCTCCACCTGAGACGTTTCATGAAGCATATTTTTATTACTAGACCAGCACAGATCAGGATGGCAAAGGGCATCATATCAGAGTTTGAAAACCTGTTTACACCCTGGTAATCCAAGAGCTCAGAGTACAGGATAAACGCACATGAAGATTGGAAAACTGAGACCTCAGCATCCATCCATCCATTTTCTTCTGGAGCTTATCTCAGTTGTCAGAAGGCGAGAGGTGGTGTACACTCTGGAAAGGTCACCAATCCATCACAGGGCTACCACAGTCTATAATTTTATCATTTAGAAACACCAGTTAACCTAACTCTATGCATGTCTGAGGAAATAATCCAGATTACCTGGAGAGAACATGCAAACTCCAGACAGAAAAGGACCGGGCCTTCATGCTGTGAGGCGATGGTGCTAACCGCTGCACCACCAAAAGATATTTTCTTTCAAAATCGCCACATCTCCTTCTTTCTTCATGATTCCTGCCACCTTGACAAGATTCTCAGTTCCAGACATGCTGAAGCATCTCCACAGCATAATACTCCCACCACTGCTGGTGCTTCACTACACTTTCTTCAAACATTAGCAACTCCTTAACACTGTGACAACTTTGTTTTTATACCCTGTGTAAATCAGAAGAAAATCCCCAGGTCAGGTCAGTTTTTCAAGGGGGCTAATAACACTGAGCCTAGTAATATATTATTTTTTGTTTTGTTTTGTTTTTCTGAAACATTTCAGTTTCACTTCTGTGTCGCTATGTCAAAAATACCCTGCTCACTTGGACCGCAGCTTGTAACCCACTTTAGAATATAGTCACAGGGACAGAAATGAGGCAGCACCACTCGGCTCATTTCCATATAATTTAATTTCAAAAATAAATCTTTTTAATATCTCTTTTCCCATAATAATAACTTCATAAACATTATTAGATTTTCTGTAAACAAATAATATCATAAATACATTCTATTATTCATTCTAAAATCTCTGTATTAAAGCAGGAAAGTACATGTGTTGGAGAAAAAAAAATACATTTTGTCCTTTTACAAAGAGCACAGCCCTCCACCCCAACCCAGGCTCCACTATGAAACAAAATCCCTTAAAATTACACCTTAAATCTCACACTAATCCGCCCAGATTTCATAGTGTAGTACGAGTAGCTCATTTGAAAACTGGAAACATCCATTAATTAACAAAAAAGGACTTTTTCAGGGTTAGAGGTTTGGTTTGGGGTCAGGTGAAAACAGATACAATTTCCGTAATCAGGGAGTTTCGAGGTTTACACCAGATTAAGGACAAATTATGGGATAAATTAAGAGATTATCTGAAATTACAGGAGGCTAAAACCCCTTTAAAACGTTAATAAAACCAAATAACTTTTCTATTTCTAAAACTATGTTTAATGGTTACAAGTCTTTTTAATATATGTCTGTATTTTAACAGTATCTTAAAGGAAACCCTTAAAATACATCACTTTTTTCCCCTCATGGGATTTGTTGTGTTGTTTAAAAATCACATTAAAATTCCCATAATCCAGAAAATATCAACAGTTTACCATAAACAGCTTTCAAAGTAGAAACCTCTAAAATTATAATCATTTTCAACCTATAAGTATCTTGACCCACCAACATATAACCAACCAATTTAAGGGAGACTCATGTCAACCTTACCATCGTCTTAATTTTATAATTAATGGATTTTTCAATTTACGTGTTTTTAGAGTTAAATAAGGATGTTTTAAGGGATTATTGCTTCATAGTGTTTTACAAATATAAATGTCAAACAAAAAAAACATTTGTTTGTGCAGTTTTTTAAATCTGAATGTTCATTTGGTCTCATCTGTGTCACTTCGAGTTTTTTTATTCTTCCCATCAGGCCTCAGCAGGAAGCCAAATGTCTCCCATCGCCGCAGGAAGTTCATTAGGGTCTTATTTGGCTCTTACTTTGCAGTTCAGCTTCCTCACCTGTTGTCCTGAGCCACTCCCAGTGGGTGGAGGCGTCCTGAGTCCAACAACTTCCTCCCCAGCCAGTGTAAAAGCTGCGAGTACCAGTGGATCCCATCACTGTGGCCCCCAGTGGTCCGAGTCCAGCTGTGGATCAGCCTGAGTGGGGCAAAGGCCCAGTGAGCAAGGGAGTGCTGGTCCACCACTGCGTAGCAGGACACCACCACCCCGTCCACCACCACCGTCCCCTGCTGGGTCAGCGGCGCAAACACCCCTTTCATCTCCTTTACTGTCACCCGGCTGATCCGAGACAGACGCCCCTCCCTGTGCTTCTGTCCCGCTTTACCCTCTGACACCAGCACACACTGTCCCGGCTGGGCATTGCTGGCATACACAGTCCTGAGGGCATTGCGGGCTGGCACCGTCCCTTCTGAGCAGTTCTCTTTGGATACAAATATCAGGTGGGCGGCAGTGAGTGAGAGCTGAGCTCCAGCTTCAGTCTGCAGGGTGTAAAAGAGTTTTCGGGTCTTGGGGTCCCGATCGAGGAAAGTCAGGACCTCACTGAACACAAGCTCACCGCTACCGTCACTGCCTGACGAGACGAGGACTCGCTCACCGGGTCGCAGATCGCTGACGGGCTTCTGACTTCCACTTTCCAATATGACCAAGGCCTCACCAGGGAAACAACCTCCAGACTTAGCCGCCACTGAGTGATCTGAAGACAGAGACAGAGATAAAAGATGGCCATTAGGTTTGGACAGTGTTTAAAATGTATTCCACTACAGATTACAGAATACATGCCCCAAAATGTAGTACTGTATTCCATTACGTTACTCAATGAGAGTAACGTATTCTGAATACTTTGGATTACTTAATATATTATCATGCTTTTTATAACTACATGAATGTACTATTGCTGTGTGATTTATTACTATTACTGAAGGTTACTCGCCATACCAACACTAACTAGATTTTTAAATCGTAATATAAATGAGTAACAGTAGGTTGGACATTAGGTAAGGCTGCACTTTTTGCAGCAATCTCGTATAGAAAACTATTCTGCGGCTATATAAAACAGGTCCGCGGCTCCCTAATAAAGGGACCTCTGGCTAATACGTCGGGTTCCGTGTGGGGCTCGTAATTTTTTATTTTTTTTTAATTATACATTGGAAAGAAAATGTGAAAGCTTCTGATATTTTGAAAGAAAGTGAAGATATTTTGTTAATCTGCATTATCAAGATAAAAATCTTTATTTACAACAAGTTTTTAAAATGCTTTTCCATAATTTCAAATTTTATTGTAAAAAAACAACAACAAAAAAAGCATATTTTCTTTTGTGTGAGGGATTATATTTCATCACGAACAATATTTTTAATTAAAAAAAACCAACATCTTATAAACAATGTTTTTATTTATTTTTTTACATTATTTATCACACTCACAATCCCAAAGTTTGACACAATTTTTAGACTAAAGATGCCAATAAATGTTTGAGATTTTCTGTTTATAAAATATTTGCAAAAAACATCACAATTCGAACCTTACCTCATAGTAATGACTTATGTCTTATTATGTTATGTTATTTTTCAGCTGGTGGCTCCATAGTTAGTGTTTAACACATTTGCTTGGCAAATGAAAGGCAGCTGGTTAAAATCAGAGACACAAATACCTTCAGGATTTGTTATACATTTGAATAAACAGCACAAAATTGGCTTTTAGAAGTAACACTTTTAATCTAACGTCTTATAGTTTTGAGTAAAAATGTATTTAATTTCTAACACTTCGGATCCGTCTCATAGTTTAGACCCATGAGGTCATTGTTTTTCTCTTTCCTTGAACCCCCCCCCCCAAAACAACTAATAACACAAATTGTTAAACTACTTAGGTACAATTTATTTTTACAATTTGGATTTATAAATTCATAACTATAACTGTTTGTTTTTGCTTTTTTATTACATTTCTAACTCCCAATCGTGTTGCATGTGCAGTTTTTGGGGGGGCAGTAATAAACTTCCATACTAAAGTTCTTGATAACATAATAAATCTCTCCACCTCCCTTTAGCCAAATATTGACTCTTTCCTTTCAATCGCTGAACATAAAAGAACAATAACCAGCCTGACAAACACAACCTCCTTCATAAAGGTGCATGTTGGGTCGTACATGTGTCCCCAGCCCAGATTGTGTTCGTGGCAATGAGTTCAGGCACTTGAAAGTAACCCCTGAGGGCTCAAGTCTATCTGGGGATAAATATTTGGAGAAGGTAGGAAAGCCAAGGCCAAGTGATAAGATAAGTCACCTGAAGGAGGAAGGAGCAGAGCAAGAAAACCAGCCAGTCATATCCTGACTTTTGAAATAAAGAAACAACCATTTCTTAGACTAAACTGCTTGGTAACTTTTGAACTTTTGAAAAAGCAAGTAAAATTAATTTGTAGCTTATTAGTAACCCAAAACATTTGAAATAAATAATACAAAATGTTGACTTGACAGCTTATATTTGTGGATCAGTATGTAAGTTTAATTCAGTATTTATTTAATACATTATTTTTTACATTTTTTTCATAACCTCTGAATTTTTTTAACCACTTCTGTCCTAATTATGACTTTTAAATTACACATTTTGATTCTAGTAATTTCAAAACGTGAACCTTGTACTCGTTCATGTTTTCCAGACTAAAAACATCACACATGTTGCTCTATCTTGTCTTGCTCTTTATTCAAGATTAAATTCTGTAATATAGAAAAATGCCATGACATGAAATCCAAAATAATACGTCTGCTTTAAGATTTTAAATAAACTTGATGAGCAATTTTGAACGTTAACATGGGATAATGATGTAAATTGTGAGCTGAAAGTAAAAACAGTAGTGTTAGGGAAGAGAAGGGTAAATAATTAAGTAGGCTATAATTTGTGGTGAAAGTTTTGGCTAAATATGGAATCAGTGTAGCTAAACGTTAAAACAAACTATACCTTTTCTAGTTTCAGTAATCTCATGATATATCTATTCTGAATTTTCTATCATTTGTTGAGCGTACCTTATACTGAGAGCAATAAAAGAACAAAAAAGTCCACGTCTTTCACCTAAAATATTACCTTCCTAACTGCTTCATGACATGAGCACAGTGGGAAAAGCTCAAGTATGAGGTGAAATGTGCATCAGTAGGAGTTAAAATGCTCCATCAATCCCTCCATTTCCTCCTTTTCTCACGTCCACCCCCTTTTTTTCAGTCCAGTCTTTCATCTATAGCGGTCCAGCACTTTGCTGCCCTCTAGTGGTTGTTTCCTCTTGTTGCTGCCCCGCTTTTAATTGCATTTAAAGGGATTTGGCGGGCAGGAGTGTTTGTTGTCAGAGTTCATCTTCCCAGTTTCTTTTCTTTGTCATATTTTGAAGAATTTTGGAGAAAATTAGGAGAAAAAAGAAGAAGAAGAAATCAAAAACATGAAAAAAAATACCAACTTGATTGGTTGCCCTTCTGATCAAGTCAAGTTCTGGGCCCTCGCAACCCGATCTGGGAGGGAAGGAGAGAGGAGCAGGAGAAAGAGGAAGGGAAAAGAGAGGTAAGGTTGGAAAAGGGAGAAAGAAAAGGAAAATCTCAGTTACCACTCAGTGTAAAATGTGTCACTGGGGGTTTAAAGTGGATGCATTTTAATAAGAGGGTGCAACTCTCAGCACATCTGTGTTACTTTTAACTGTAACTTTTCATAACACACACCCTGAGAACAGTGGCTATGTGGAGAAGTTTGAACCATGATGAGAACGTGCAGTCTCTTCTTTATACATCCTGATGGAGTCAAATATTACGAGTTGCATTTCCAGCAAAAATACCTAAAAGTTTTCAAGAAAGTTTGGCATGCGAAATAAAAAGTTCAGGTAGGTTAATTAGCTGCTTTTCTTCACTGTTTCTTGGTGCAGTGAAGTAAAGCACTGCAAGGTCTCAGTAGTCCATCTATCAGATATTTGTGGACAGCATTTAACATTACAGCTCAGTAATAAATGATGAATAGTCTGTCAGGCATTTTATGGTCTCCACTTCTTTCATGCAAAAGTCCATAAAGCTGTGGTCGCACCTACTGAATGTGAACAAATGTCAGCAAACACACAAGCTGTCCCCGTTCAGTTTAAGTCAAAATATGCTTGTGAGCTAACGTTACATTAGGGGAATATTAATGTGGTGCTGGAGAGAGAGAGGATAGGAGCAAAAGATGAGAGATACTTTTTAAAAGCTAAGTAAGTTACATTTAATTTAAATGTAAAGTTTATATGTATGGTCTTGATTCATTTTAATGTTTTTCGCCCAATGAGACCCTCAAATCTGTATGTGATGTGTCTTTGAAGTCACCTTTTCAGTGAAAAGATACTGTTTAATACCCGTGAGACTTTTTTTCATAGATTCAACTAAAGAAATAAGAACAAACTATGTATTTAACTATGTATTTTTGTGACAGGCTGCTAGCAACAAAGTGTCGTAAGATATAATATAAAATTGATTCTTTGCTACGTTTTTTAGTAAGTGTAGACACAACGCGGGTTCATCCATTGAATTAGGAACCTTTTTTTTGCTTCAACAATTCATAACTCAGTGTTAAGTAGCTTTGCAACAAAAACATTTATCATAAAGTCTCCAGTTCAAGAAATGGAATGAAGATGAGTAAAAAAGCAGACAATTGTGCATAGAAGAACTTTGAAAGACCTTTAGGAAGTCAGGTTTCCGAACTAAGATTTCTGATTGCAAAATATTATCCTTTGACTTTTTTAGGTAAGTTATAGTTTTTTGCAGTTTTTGTAAGTCTGCTAGGGTCAACTTGTGTCCTTACATTTTTTTAATACTTTTGTAATATTACTTATGATTACAAATTTTGTGACAAGGCAGACTCGTCTATGGAGAATGCAATGTTCCAATGCGCCAACTATGCACACACCCTTCGTGTATGTTGAGTTTCCAGTTCTCTGTGTCCACAGTTTCCAAAACGCAGCATACAGACGCCTGTTTTTCCCCCCAAACTTTGCCATCTGTGAATTAAGACTGACGTTTGTTTGCAGGTGGTTTAATCAAAAAAGTTCATCCCACAAAAATAGAAACCTGCTTTAAATTTGCCCATTAACCTCTTCAAGGTCACCTCCTTGTGCACCTCTGGACCACTGCAAATCATTTTGATCATGTTTTGTTCGTAGATAAGATGAAGCAATTATGAATTTTAGTCTTCTTAATTCTTTTCCCCATAAAGACAACATCTGACGACCTCCCATGAACCCTTAATGTCAAGTCTTGACACTTCAAAATATATCAGTACAGACCTGGTTTGACGACCATTAGAATATGTTTCCCAGGGTTTTTTTCCAAGGAGATCTCTGCCTAAGCTACAGAGGCAGACGTCCTGCATAATTCCTGTTCTGGAAGCAGGCCTAAAATATAGCATAAACCGCTCAGTTCAGAAAATAGAAACTAGCTTTACCCCCAGCAGGTATCCAAGCGGTAAAGAGTTAGGTAACCAGGTGTGTGCGGCTGTATTAAGTTCAGATGAGGTGGCTGCTGTGTGAGTAGAGCCAGAAAGCCACAGACAACTTGAAGATGAGTTTTTTGAGGAAGCCTAAGGTGAGTGGTTGTTGTGAGATAAACTGAAGACACAGAATGTAAGAGATAGTGCCTACTTTAGATGCAATAAAACAGTTAGTGGGCAAAGACAGAAGAGTGAAAGTAAAGCAAAGCAGATGCACATATGAGAAATCAGTTTTCAAGAAATCTAGAGTCCATTTTCTTTAAAAAAAAAATATCTTGACAAAACAATTCCTAGTATTTGCATTTTTACATTTCTGCTCACACAAAGACTGAAAAAAAGAGAAGGATAACACCTCGCTTGGCTTTCATGAAGCATTTGTAGGCTTTAGAAGATTTGCCCCCAAGCGTGAAAGAGTTCAGTTTCAAGCTACAAAATCATTCAGGGGAAGACGATGGTTTTGTTGACTTTCTGAACAATATTTAACCAAAACCACAAACCTTTTCTAACCTTCACCAAGCACTTTGAGTTAATCGTGTCTGTGGCATCACTAGTTGCCATGACTGGAGGCTGAAAAACAAAACCTTCAAACCTTGCAGTGAACTCAACACGGTTCCTTTCTGTGAGGTCTAAAAGTGAAAAAAAATGTGGCTCACTGTGAAATGTCTTAAAAAGATTTAACGTCATTAGGAAATAAAAATGATCCTGTTTTCTTTGAGTATTTAAACATTTAGATTTCTTTAGTTTATATTTGATTAAAGCATAAAAGACTTCACCGCGCTTCAGAAGTCACTTCCGATTATATGAATCCTTGCATTTGGACATTTTTGTGCTGCCAGAGCTAATCCAAATAGAGCAGTTTAAGCTTTATTAACAAAACTGCAGTAAAATTACATGCAATTTACCTAGAGGGTGCCTGAAATCTCAGTACATGAATAAATGGCCGAAATAATTACCTGCTTCTAGGTCCCAGGGTGTCAAACTCCATCTGGTCCCAAGTGGATACGACTACAAAAGTCACTGCCTCTCAATTGTTTATCTTATATCTCTGTAAGCATGTCTTTTCTTGTAAGTGAGAAGTTACAAGAAAAGTACTGGCAGCTTGTTGTAATTAATGTAATTAACAGAACATTTTAATGACTTACTGCAGACAACTAAAAATAAAAGAAACAGGAACTTTTCTGTTACGCGACAACTAACAATAAAAAAATTGAACGTTTTTGTTATTTAATAGAAAACTTACTACAAAAAATAACTTTTCTGTTAACTAATGGACTCCTAAAAATAAAAAAAACATAACTTTTTTGGTATTTAATTGAATACTAACAATAAAAATAAAAAAAAGACTTCAACTCCTGTTTTTTTAATGTTTCTATGGTTAGTCCAGTGCTTCTTTGCTTTAGTGTCTAACAGGGTGTGGGTGATGTTAGTTTGGTCAGTAATAAGAGTAAAACTGACACAATACACAGCTAACAGTTAAAAATTGATGCTCTTCTCATTAACAATTTTCACATTTTCCAAAGTCATCCAGGGGTTGAGATTGGACCTTTTGGTGAGCCTGTTCTGGCCCCCAGGCCTCATGTTTGACACCCCTGTTGTAGACACATATTAATATTATCCATGTTTCTGGAACACCTTGCTTCTTACTTCCTGTGATTTGGCGCACTCGCTCACCTGACTTGACACTGCAGTGGATGTGATATTTGGACTCGTAGTAGACCCAGTCGAATCCAGCCTCCACTGCCAGCCGTGCCAGCATGGCGTACTTGTTCCTGTCCCGGTCCGACGTGGTGATGTCCACCGCCCGGCCCTCGTAGTGCAGCGACTCCTCCGAGTGGTGGCCGTCCTCATCCCAGCCCTCGGTGACCCGTAGCCGGACCCCAGGCCACAGGTTCATCACCGAGATGGCCAGAGAGTTCAGCCTGTCTTTGCAGCGCTGCAACAGAGGAGGCACACAGGACGTGTCTGGATCAATATATTTGCACTTTTTATGTGAATATGTTTGTTCACTGGGGACTGAAGCCTCATCCTCTGCTGCTGCGCAGCTTTAAAACCAACCAGGAAAACACAGACTCTTTACAAAGACCCCTTCTCTCGTGGACTTCACCAAACCCCCTTTGCCTCACCCCTCTCCCCCTTGTCTGTGGCTCCAGCCTGCTGTCCCAGCCCAGCCCGGTGTTTGCTCTCTGTGGTGAGCTAACGGAGGAGGGAGGCTATGACGGATGGAGGGGGGGACTGTGAGGTTACAGGGTGGCTGGGTGGGGGTGACATGTGGTGGCGGCTACAAGAACAAGAGGTCCTCAGCGTCCCTCTAAACCTGGAGTCTGGTCAGGGTGAGCAAACAGGAGGTGAGAGGGCCTATTGAAGGACCCCTCCCCTCCCTTCCCATTGCTCCGGCATACACAAATCTCACCTTCCAGTCTGCCCCGTTTATCTAATCCACACCCGAACTGCATTGTCAGGGCAGCAGTCATGGCGTCTTGGATAACCTCTCAGACAGGCACTAGTCCTGGTCTCACTGTGAGTAAATGTAACTAACAGCAGTCAAAGACTTAAAGATGGACAAAAATTAAGGAATTTTAGATATTCCTCCCCCCATTTCATTTTTTTTAAACCCCTAATTTTTGAACATTTTTAGTCACATTAACCTCCTAACACCCAAACTCTTTCATGGCATGCTTTTTTAATTACTCTTTGCTATTTGTGCTGATTGGCACCTGATGAATGTTAAAACAAAGAATTACCAGGTTTTTTCTTTTTTGTTTCAGAGAAAAATGAGATCCAGTTATAAGGACATTTGTTTTAAATTTCAATAGAACAGTGGAAGTATAATGTCCTCTTAAGTGCAAATCAGACCCTTGTAGAGCAAAATTTTGTATTTTGATCTAGACAACCTGAAATGTGATGACCACATATGTGGATGCCAGGTCCCAGGAGGTTAAATTATAGAAAATTAAAAACACAACTATAAGAGGCTGATAATTAAAGATCCTAATTTAAGGATGAATATTTTTGGTTATTAACGCGTAAACCAATTCCAGATGTCACCAGAGGCCAATTCATAGACAGGTTTCAGCTGTGACACTTACTGGCCTGAAGAGGATTTGGGTTGGGTTTTTTTATGAAGCTTAAACAAAGCTTTACAGCAGAAATAAACATGTTTAGTCTGAAGAGTTGGTGCGTTTGGATATGTGCAGAGGTCTTTTGGTAAAAAGAGCTTTTTCCTGTGTAAATGCTGTGAAAAGGGAGATTTTGAAAAACTTCCAGGGTGAAAACTTTCAGAAATTAATGCTTTTACATGTGAAGTGAAAGGTGCATGCCTTTATCTTCTTTCTGATGTCAGACTGTGAGCCATGTTACTGTTTGTGGACTTTTGATGGCCTAATACTTCTATTCAGTAAGGGTTACATCACCACCTGTTTTGGCGTACTACTGACATTGCTCGATGTCGCTTTGTTACATTTCTGCGTGGGTATTGTTTTTTCAAAACAATCATAGAAAAATCTTTGTTAAAAAAATACATGTGGACAGCTTTAGTTTCCCTCTTCGTGACAAATGTAGAGAAGGAGATCTATCGATCTATCGATCAAACTCACCAGTTTAGATTGCATTAAGGCTTAAAGTTTGCATTATTAGTGGACTGTGCAAACAGACCGTCCAAGAAGTCGGTACGCTCTGTCCATGTGATGCAGCTTGTTAACTTAGTTTGATAACCTAGTAAGTCACCTTTTTTTACCCAAACATTATCATCTGGTTGCATAAAAGCAAGAACAACAGAGTCCAAAATGCAAACATTGAATCGTCAAACTACATGACACTCTGGTCATTGTGTCCATCCTTTATATACAGTCTCCACTTTGTGAAAACTAAAACTAGCTCTGAAAAAACACTTTCGTTTTTATTTATATTTAAGTTAACCAGACTTTTGGGGGAAAAAATTAAAATTAACTGATATGATTTTGTGAACTTGGCCAACAAACTAAAATAAAACTTAAAAAGTACAGAGAAAATATACTTAGTTTTACCATTTCTTTGATAAAGATTTTATTTAAAAGTTACTGATGAGGGAAGGTTAGACGTGTTTATTGGGACTGTAGATGTCTACAAGACTCTGAGTCAACAGCTTTCAAAGGTTCTGTTTTATTGTAATAACTGTACTTATTTTCCTGATTCTTGCCTTTAGTATAGGTCCAGCTTATAATGATTATTTGAAAGACTCCAACTAAAAACTAAAATGGAACAAAAAAAATCTATTCATGAAGCTAAACTGAAGCTAAATTGAGTCAAAATGAAATGAAGACAAAGAGTAATTAGAAAATAAAAAACTAATATTGCTGATCAATAAGTGGAAATTTTAGGTCAGGCTTGGCCAACTCCAGGCCTCATTGGTTTTGATGGGTTTTTTTTGTTTTGTTTTAAAAAGACACTTGGGGAGGAATCTTTTGTTATTCATTGAACTTACTTAAAACTGTTGTTTTTTTTTTT